TCTCCATATTAAATGGAATTTTTCCTGACATTTTGAAATTATCTTGTGTCATTCCAGTATATAAAAATGGCTCTCATGTACAAACTGTAGACTAATTTCAATTCTTTATAGCATTAGCAAGCTCCTTGAAAAACTAATGTGCTCTAGATTACACTCATTTTTGAATTTCTTTAACTGTTTAAATGAGTTTCAGTTTGGATTTCGATCAAATCACTCCTCTTGCCACGCTTTAATAAGTATAACCAAAAAAATAAAAAAGGTACTGGATATTGGTCATTATCGACTTTGTTCGATACCTTTAATCATACCATTTTAATTTCTAAACTTAAACATTACGGAACCTGAGGAGTTGCTTGTAACTGGTTTCAATCTTATCTTTCAAATTGAAAGCAGTTTGTTAGCACTAATGGTTACAAATCAAATAACAAACATATAGTTTGTGGTGTTCCCTAGGGTTTTGTTGTTGGCCCTTTATTGTTTTTGATTTATATAAATGATCTAAATAACTCTGCTCACTTCTTATCAGTCCATTTGTTTGCTGATGATACTAATATCTTGCAAATTTAATAAGTCTCATCATTCCTTTTGTAAGAATATAAACTTAGACCTATAAGGTTTAGTTCATTGGCTAAATGCAAACTTAATTCCTCTGAACTTGGAAAAAATTGAACTAACTATTTTTTTTATCTCCAAGACAAAAAATTTTATACAACAATCATATAAATAAAATTATAATTAATAATAGACGTTTATATCCATCACACTTTGTTAAATATCTTGGTATTTTTATAGATTTGAACCTCTAAAGGAATTTTCATATAGATGCACTCCGAAAAAAAACTTAATCGAGCTAATGTCATGCTTTCAATAACTCGCCATTATGTTGATAAAACTAACCTTAAGAATCTGTATTTTGCAATTTTTCAATCTCATCTCAACTACTGTTATCAAGTTTGGGGACAAATTGGCAACTATAATATTAATAAATTGTTATCAGCTCAATGCCAATTAATCCGAATAATTAATTTTCAACTTCATAATACAGAAACTTCAAAATTCTTCAATTTTTGAAGTTTCTGTATTATGCTAATAATATTTGCTAACCTTCTTTTTGTTTTTGACTCCCATAATAAAAATTTACTTTCCTCTATTACAACCTTCTTCACTGAAACTCGATTTATACATTCACATTTAACTAGAATAATGGAAAACTAAATGTACCTCCCTATTAAACTTTGAGGTATGGTAAATATTCAATTACACATCAGTGCATCAGTGAATGGAATCGAAGTCTTGTGTGCATTGTGAATGAGTTTGAAAAGTTAAAATTTCAAAATAATTTATCTTCATTTTTTTATTAAAAACAAAATAAATTTAAACAAATTCTAAAAAAAAACCTTAATTTAATTTTTTATCATTATTAACTTCCTTTAGTTTTCTTCTCTTTTTTTTTATTATTATTTTTATTTTATTTACTATTTCTATAGAAACTTTATTGTTTTTGTCATTAATATTTATTACTTTCATTACTGCTGTTTTTATTATTACTATTATTATTACAATTATTATAAATGCTATTATTTTTGCTGTAACTTTTGCTTTAATAATGAATAAAGTTATTATTATTATTATTATTATTTTTTAAATAAATATTATTTATATAATTATTCGGTGTCACTCTTTTTATCGGGATTCTGATTGAGTGACTCCTTCCTTAATCAATTATTTATATTTATTCTTAATAATTATATTTTGATCTTATTATTTATAATATTATAGATATTTTTATTTTTGTTAATATTATTATTGTTATTATTATTAATGTTGTTATTATATTATTGTTATTATATGATTGTAAATTTTGAGAAAATAAATATCTTGTTGTTTTTTGTTGTTGTTGTTGTTGTTTTTCGATCTAAGGCGGAAATATTGCATAAAAAGAAAATACAAAATTAAGACCATATTTTTACGAAGCAAATTAAATATAAACAAAACAGGACAAGCTTGTGTCGAAAAAGATATCAGTTGAAGTTTTTAAAAGAAACTAGAATCATTCGATAATGAATATCAAGATGAAAGCGCGAACTTTATCGAAACAACAGGTGTTGTAAATTAAGAATAAACTAAACTAAACATTTTGGACAGTAAATTAACTGCAAATTCTGGCTTTCCTATATCATCAAAATTGAAATGCCTATAAGAACAAGTAGCTGCAAGAAAACAAGAAATCGGACAAGATTTATGGATACAGTTGAAGAGAGTTCATGTATTTACCAGTATTCAATTTCTGTATTTACCAGTCATAAACGTAATTATGAAAACTGGAAGTCGGCACTCATGACCTGTTTAGATTAACCTCCTACAACTCCGGAGTATAAATTAATACAATTACGACAATACCCGTCTGTTTCAGCTTTAACAACAATAGATGAATTGGGACACTCTGATTATGCTTATGAAGCTGCAAAAGAAAAATTAGAAAGAAAATATGCTGGACAAAGAAAAAAGTTGATGTTACACACAGACGAGTTGAAAAATTTTAAACCATAAAGAATTATTCATTCTAAAGGTCTGGAGAAATTCGCTGACGTATTAGGTATTGTATTAACCAACCTAAAAGAAGGTAAACGAGAAGAAGAGCTTGGTAATGGAACATTTAATAGAAAACTTCAGAAAAAGCTACCAGAAAAAATTCTTGCTCAATATCAGCCTTGGTTTTTCAAAAATACAAAAGAAGAAAATGTTGAAACTATGCGACAGTTTATCATTAAAGAGTCGGTATTGGTTTAAGTTTATGGATAAAAGGATATAACTTACTGATTCAATATAAAGTCGGTTATAATAAAACAAGTTAATTGTGACGACATAAAAATCAAAGCAAATTATGTAAATTGATAATAATCTATCCGCAAATTTGTATTTAAAGTCGGTAATAGTGAATATTTAGACGGTAATGATCAAACAAGATAATTGTGACGATACAAAAATCACAAACTAAAGCAAATTACGTAAATTGATTGTAATCTATCAATAAATATATATTTAATGTTTCTCAGAAAACTGTTAAAAACTTTAAAAAAAAAGTAAATTTAAATAAAGTAGTTCGATTTATCAACGTCTATGAACTGAAATTTATTTAACAAAATGTTAATAAAAAACTTTTTGTCTCTATTTGTCATCTATTTGGGTTAGCTTTTTAAAACTACAAGGGTAATAAAGTTGAACTGCCAACAATGTTTTTAAAGTGATTTAACACAAAACAAGCATTTTGTTTGAAAGCAACTAAGTTTAAAATATTTAATTGCAAAATAACTATATTCTACCGTTTATTCAGCCATTTTTTTTTATTAAATTTGGTTATTTCGTAAAAGGTTTTGACAATAGATTTACAATCAGTAACATAAGCAGAGAAATCTTAAAGTGAGCGAATAGATTAAAAAATTTAAAGCAAGTGACGTCTTTTTTAAAAATTTTAAGATTAAAATGCACGAATTGTCTAAAAATCATAAGATTCTCTGAGATATTTCATACAAAGTTTTGCATGTCGAATAACTGATCAATTTTGAAAAAGTTTGTGAGGCAGATAGAGATAAGGAGGCGAATTTTAAAGATAAAGTATTTGTTTCAAATTCAGAGTGGCATTCTGTGGATAAAAAGAATTTGGTGACAGGGGATAGAATAATGATAGTAATTTTCTTGAACTCATTAAAATTTTCTCAAAATATAACAACATGTTAGAGAAGCTTTTCAATCAAAATGGCCGCAACGGTTTATATCTTAGATCCGTTGAGGTCATTTTGATTTACATGCAGAATGGCTTCACGCAGTTAAATAGCATCTAAAGTTAATGTAAAAATATGCTTAATTGTGAAAATGCAAAGTATTTTGCGTTTATAATAACTTTCAATATAAACATTAGTCAAGTAAATCAATTTTCTTTGCAATATGTTTCAGCCAGTGGAGATTTAGTTGAAAAGTTTGTTAAGTTAAGGTATTTTGTTAAGGTGCTCTGTGATAAGACCGTAAGGACTTCTTGGGGCACCTTAATCAACTTAAAAAAAAAAAAAGTTCTAAGAACATTGCCAATGCTGAATCTTTTATTACATTTTTAAAGCCTTTTTTAAATTACTTTAATTTCTCCTTTTATGAGGACTTTTATGATCAGTCATTCAGTAGTACAATCACCTAATAAAAAATCGTCTAATAAAAGTTTCTAGACTGTTGAAAAGAATCACCACATACTTGGTTTACACGTTACCCACACTTTAAATTTTGTGTTGGTTGACGCTGTAAATTTTAATGTACAATCATATTTATTTTTTATATCTTTTGAAATCAAGCAGCAATTTGCCTCGTTTATTAAAAATTTGCTTCGTTTATTAGCAACTCCCTTAAGTTAACGTTGCTCAAAGAAAAGCAACGTCTATGTGCGGAATGCTTTGCTGCAAACCTAGTGTATTTTAGTGTATTTATTTATTTGCCAATAAGAAATAACCATATTGTATCACTAAAAGTGACACAAGATGGGTATCTCGAAAAGTAGCGATTGATTATTTATTACCAGGGATGCGGAGTCCCAAAAGGACTCCGGCTTTATAACTTTATTTTATTATGGTCTCTGGTGTCCAGAAGTTCTAAATATGTTGGTTGATTAATGATCTGCTATAAGAAAAAAATTTATGATATTAAATGACTTAAAACTAATTGTTATTAAGCTTATTTTAAAACTTTTTTTTTTAAAGTCCCCAAGGGAACATTTTGCATAATTTAAAAAGTTTGTTATATAAAAATTTGTAATACTTGTGACAAACAACTTTTACTGTTCCTTACTTTATTCTTAAACTTATATAACTCAAGTGAATCCCATATAACTTTAAGAGGTATGCAGTTGTTACTATTTTAGAGGAAACTATTTTTGGGGTTTTTGAAAACTGAAATGTCATTGAAGTTACCAGTACATTATAAAGATAAAGATATTTAGAATTTTCTTTAAAAAAATGTTTGACTTCTGAAGTTTATCTTGATATATGTAAACAATTACAATTTAAAAAATTTACTAAAAGAAAACAGTTATACAATTATACAATTATCAATATTTACAATAACCCCAATAAATAATCACAAGATTCTTATCATTTGTTTTGCGCTTGATTTCGGAAAATGAACACAAGTTTCTATATGTTCTTAAATTAGAAGCACACAACGGTATTTGATCAAAAGCACGACACGAATCAGTACCAATGACTTCATCTAAAAATGATAAAAAAAAAAAGTTATCTTTTACAAAAAAAAGTTTGGTTATTAATTTAAATATATTTATACATTTAAATATTTATACCGTTTTTTTTTATATTTATGCTGTTTATTTGTTTGCTATCTAATGCCACTTTTTTGACCAAATTGCATGTGATTACACCAAAAAAAACAACGCAAAGATAAAAGCTTTTCATTTTTTATATAAGTCTTATCTTATTGATAAATAAGTTAAAATCACTTAATCTCTCTTTGATTGATGCAAAAATAAAAAGTATAATTGAGAACTATTTATGCTTCGTAACATATGTTCCTAATTAACACGCCGTTCTTAAGCGCCCCAAAATTCTGTTTGATATTCTCCAAGCCGAAATTATATTCTGAGTGCTATAACAAATATATTAGAGTACTTTTGATTTGCACAAAATGTGCAATACAATCGTGAAAAGTAGAAAAATACACAGGATACTTTTTTAGATTTACTTTATATTTATATTTAATAACTAATTTTTATTTTAATCTTAGAACTTAAAACCATTGAGTTTTAAATACAAAATTTTTTTAATTTCTGACATTTCTCACGAATATTAAATGGGGAGGGGGGGGGGGATGTTGAAATATTTTGTACCACATTTGCGTCTCCTAAAAAAAAAAGATCCTCAATTTCTAAAATATTTTAAGAATTTCAGATTCTGGTGATGGTGGTGGTGAGGATGGGTTGGTTGGTTTGGATGCATAACACAAGTTTGCTTAGAAAAATGTCTAAAAGATTTTTGATCTGCGCATTAAAAGTTTTTTCTATTAAATTTTTACTTAAGTTTATTTGAACTTCTATAAATAATATTTATAGCTCCCAATAGACTTCATAGATACTTAAATTTTTATGGAAACTTAGACTCTAAGTTTCCATAGAGATTATCAAACTCACCAAACAGATTATCATCGTTTCCACAGAGATTATTAAAATATTAATAAATAAGTTCAAAATAAACGTGTTAAAATAAAAAACAATTTACTTTTATCGTTGAAAGAATGCGAGAACTGCTTTTGTTTGATTTGTAATTTTAACTGTTGTTGTACATCTGTCTGTTTAAAATATTATTAATAGAATGATGTTACAAAGTCTAACTCTTTGAATTATTAATATTTTTTATGGTCTGTTTCTTTTCTTCTTGTTTGACTTAATTAACTAATCACAGATTGGCTTTAAGGTATAGAAATATAAATGTCATAAATATTAAGTCCAAAATACATACCAGCAAATAAAATTATAAGGGCATACAACTCCAAAAACATGATTAAAATAAATATCAAATACAACAATATAATAATGTGAAAGTAAAAAATTATCCGAGAAAAATATCTCTATATAATTACAATAAATAAAAATGAATCTGCTAAATTTTTGGAAGTGTGATAAGGTGTTTTGGAAGTGTGATGAGATTTAGAAGATATTTACCAAATAACTATCAAATAAAATTTCATAGTTATTTGGTAGCACACGCAGAAAAGAAACATTTGAAAAAATAAATTAAAAAACGTATTTAACTTTTTTTAAATTTAAAGCAAGTTAAGGTTATTTATTAAAGCAATTAAAAACACTATGTAACAAAGTTTCACTTTTGTTCTGTTTCTTTGTTGAAAGTGTGTTTTACCAACCCGTAAGGTCTAGAACAGAGAGGAAATCGCTGTTATTCCAGAAAAACTTTACTTCTATGATCGGGACAATGAGATTTGAAAAATCGCGAGTTTTCAAGAAAATTTTCGATTTACTTTCAATTCCTCTTATAATATTCCTGAACTGTTTGAGTTGTCCAGATACTTCTACAATTCTTCTAAACATTCAAGAACGTTCAAATAACTTCCAGAATTTTCGAGTAACTCTCGGAAGTTTCTAGAACAATCTTGAACAATAGCTGATAGAGAACTGCTTAGAGTAGTTTTGTTGCAATCGGCAAATTTATAGAGAACATGGACGCTTACTCCGATAACGAGGCAAGCGTTTTCATCAAGATATATTGAATTTTGAACGTCGTTGCCAAGGACATTGTAACGAAAATATGATGGGGGACTACATTTGGGTGCTACTTTGAATAAGTGATTCACATTACAATTGTAAATCTAGAAAATCTAAATATTTCTGAATCTTGTTGAGTGGTTTCCGAATGTGTTTATCTATTCCATGTACAATTTGTTTTTACCTGATCATAATGACGAAAATGAAAAAAAATTGTTCTATTTTCACACAAAAAACGATTTTTTTTTGTGCTGTTGTCGTGTAAGTAAAGTATGTACTTAATGAAGTTATTTTTCACATATTTTACAAATAAGCAATTGAAATATAACAGTTAGAAGCCAGAAACAAAAATTCTGTTATATTGTGAAATAAGAAAAGCTAGGCTGTTACATAAAGAAAACTCTAAACAAGTTGTAATATGCCTAACAGAATAGTTATTGAAACAAATGCTTTCAATAATTGTTCTGTTGGGTTTCAAACAAATGATTTAGGATAAGTTACTTTAATTTCGTGCAAAACTAACAAAAAGTATTCAGAGATTTTGAAATATTGTTACAATAATCATCAGGCTGTGCAAAGTTAAATTAGCAACAGAAACGTTCGCACGCGCGACATCAGTCATTAAAAAGAATAACTTTTAAGACCATATTATACGTTCTCATTCGGACGTTCTCAAGGAGCTGTCTTGAGATTATTTTATTTTAAATAATTTGCTGTTAACAAAACCTTAAACTTCTGCGTTAAACCAAGGAGTTATTATAGACTGGAGGGAGAACGAAATTAAAATACGTTAATTCTTAAGGAACAATCTTAGTAGTAACATAATTTTCTATTAAATACCGCGTAATTATCATATATTATTGTTAAATAACCACATTTCACTTTTAACAAAAATTAACCAATGATATTGTTTCAAAACGTCATTAGTAATTGAAGGATTGCAAGTAAAAAATTTGTAAACAATATTTAGAATTAGTTTATTTTTTTTTTAATGTTGTGCTTTGTTGTGAACGACTAAACATAAATTTCTAAATTTCAGATAACTACAATGTGAGCTATTCATTGATACGAAAGGCAAGACAAAAACCAAGAAAAATTTTAGCAAAAACTTGAATGAGACTTTTAAAATTGATAAACCATTGTTTGTTCATTTGAATGGAAGACTCCTTGAAGACATTAATGATAATGAGATTGTAGATTGGTTACCAATCCTAGTATCTGGTAGTGGAGATGATCAATTATTTGGAATCCTAAAAGTAGATCACGGTACGGAAAGGAGAATGCAAATGCAGTACATCAGTTGATCATTGAATGGAATCTCACAGATTAAATGACTAAATAGATGAAATCTAACAGATTATGTATTCCAAAGACTGGGATTAAATTAGGTGAATCTGGGGTTTATCACAGAGCGTTGGATGGCAAAAGACATTTATTTCATGAATATCAATACCAGTTTAAAATAACAGCTATGGAAGAAAAAAAACTAAAAGAAATTTGTCTGTTTTTGGTTGCAATACACATTAAGCATTGGTTCTTGGCTCTTTGCGCAGTAAGTGCTTCACAAAATGATCTCTGTCTTCTCAAGGTTCTTTACAGCTACAAATGTACAAATGAAGAATTAGCAAATATTGCACTAGGAAAATTTAAAAATCATTAGTGATATCTCTCTGAAGAGTTGATTGAGTTGGATTTATTTGATGGTAAAGTAATCTTTGACACAAAAAGAAATATGAAGGATGCTATGACAAAACTTTGATTGATTGAGTTATTTAAAAACATATATTGAAATGAAACACGAAAGTTCTTAATGAGTGAATAAGGAGTGAAGTTAATTGAAGATTACAACAAATTAATCACTAAGCAACATAATCAATATCTATTACAAGTTGTATCAAATTATGGGAGGAAGCTTAACAAATCTAAGACAAGTATTTTATGTTTGGCTCGAAGAAAAGACCCAAAGTATACCCAGCGGGCATTGGTTTTTAAAAGTTACATTTTAAATGTATTTTAAATGTCTTTTAAACGTCTTTTAAACATTCTTACGTAAAGAACGTTTAAAAAACGTTTAAAAGACATTTAGAACGTAACTTTTAAAAACAAATGCCGGTAGGGTAAGTTTTATGCATTATATTATAAAATATCTTTTAAAAATTTCCTAATCTTTTGTACTTTGTTTTTTAGTAAATAGAAAACAGGAAAATGGTTTTTATAATTCTTCTAGGGAGCTTACACTATAAAAAAGTGAAAAAGTGGCATTGCTGCACCTCCATACAGTGCTGGATCAAGAGGGAGCTATGGGGGACTATAGCCCCGGGCCCCGCAAATTTAGGGGCCCCCAAAAATTTTAGAGGACTTTTTTTTTTTAGGCTCTGGCCCATAAAAAGGCCTCCAAAAATAAAAATAGCCCCGGGCCCCAAGAACTCTTAATCCGCCACTGCCTCCATACTATGCTTCACTCTAATACAAAATGAGGAAAAAAGCTTATAAATAAAGAAACATTCAACATATTGAGCTGATTTTTTCACAAGACATCAAATTTTTGTTTATATTTCTGTATTTAAAAGAAAAACATCCGGTTTTTCTAAAAAAAAGAACAACTTACTGTATTTTTTTTGGTTCACCCGGACTAATTCCTGACTAATCCGGAAAATTACAAAAGTTAATTTTCTTTAATTAAAATTACAATATTTTATAGAATTGTACAAACTATATAATTAACACGATTTAATAATAAACAATATCATTGAATATAAACTTATTAAAACTATAAACAAATCTGTTATTATCTAATTCTTCGTTCCTTAGTTTCTTACAAGTTTCTCAACGTTCTAATAGATGTTTTTAATAACCTGGCTATAAAAATAGCCGTTTTTCAAAAATTCAATGCAGAAGACCTTATCAGTATAACATTTTAGTTCTTGATATAAATCTTTCTAGATTAGTTAATTATTAGTTTATTAAATTATTTCTTAAACTTTTTTTGAAAACAAAAAACAACAAAACTTGTCGTTTGTAATTATAAACAATATTGAGATTTTTTTACCAAAAAAAATTTAACAAAAATAGTCCCACAAAAATTGCCAAAACTATTAACAATAACATAAAAATCAAAAAAAAAAACACTCAATAGAGGTACATATAAAATATCACGAACAAATAATTAGCAGCATCCCTGTTTTTTCTGCCAAGAAGGTTAGACGTGCATGACTAACTTGTGCAGTTTAGTTTTCCTTGTTTAATAGCACTCTCAGACAAAAAACCTATTTGAGGATACTTAAAATACCTAATAAAAGAAGTATCATGAATTTTTATTTTATGTACAGATTGTGACATAGGCAGGTTTTTTTTGTGTGTGTCATTAGTAATGATTACAAATAGATATTCAGATTTCGAATTGAAAACGTTAATATCCGGTCTTATAGTTTAATGTTCATATCAATGAGTAGGTCTCGAAAATAATAAAAAAATAAATTTAGGCATATACAACACCAACAAAAATGTCAAACTTATAAGTGTTTTATTAAACATAGTATAAACAATTTGTGTGCGTCTATATATATATATATATATATAGACACACAAATATACACAACAAATTAAATATCCTCACAAGGATATTTACTTTGTTGATTTTTAAATAAAAAAATGTTTTATTTTTGTTGGAAATAACTTTTTTTTAAAATCCTATTTCCACTTCGCGATGCAAAGTGCTCCAGGGTGTCATGGAAATCAGAAAATTTCCAAAGTATGACTTTACTCAATTTTTATATTAGCCGGTGCACTCCTTGAATATTATTATTTAGCATATAATTTCACACAGAGTGTTTAAAAACACTCTGTGTATAAAATTTTATAACAAACTAAAACAAATGAGGCGGACTCCCAAAACATTTAAAGAAAAAAAATAAAATTTCTTCAAATGTTTTGGGAGACTTCAAATGTTTTTACCGTTTATTATGTTAAAAGAATTAACTAAAGTTTTAATTTACAATTAATAAGAAAAACAACGAAAAATCATATAAATAATGTTATAACGTTATCATGAAATAAAAATGACATAAACGACGTATAGTTTATAATTATAAAGAAAAACAGCAGTAAAAGTTAAATTCTCACAACATAATTGTCAGATCAAATCCTATAATTATCATGCAACGATATGACGAATTAGTAGAGTAAAAGCGGGTAGAATAAAATAGATGATAGAATAAAATAGATGATCGAGGTATATCGGAACAGTGGGGCATAAGAGGACAGTTATGCCTGAAGCCTCATGTCTCAGCTAAAAAAAATTTTTTTACATAACTTTTTTTTGATAAAACATTTTAAATTCTTCTTCTTTATTATTGTAAAAAAATCTTTAATTCTAGAAACACTAAAATGCATTAAAAGTACCAAAATGCATCAGTAAAATTGCGAAAAACAAAATTTGCGTATTTTCTTAAGCGATGCAACGACAAAAGATTTATCTTGAGCTATTGCTAATTTGCTTTATTTATAAAAAGTTGATATTTTTCAGACAGTTTTTTTTATCCTCTTTTTAAATATGGTTTTAAAAATTATCTGGAATTAATCTTTTTGAATAGTATTAATTTCAGTAAAGTGACTTTTGTGGTGTGTATCGAGACATTCAGATAATTGACTATATTACTACCATTTCGTGATGCTGTTTACAGTTTGATAATTTAATTTTTAATTTAAACTATTATTTTTCTTATTTAGAAAAGCAATATTAGTAATAAATTTAAAGAAATTCTTATTTTGATATTTTAACTTTGATTATTAAAAATGTTTAATGTTAGAAATTATATAAGAAAGATCAATCATCCAAAATGGGATGAAATGCAGTTTAGCTGTGAGTAAAAAGGAACTTTGAACTAGAATATGGCATATTTACGTTTGCTCTTTATTGACATATTGCGAACAACCCAGCTCATCAAAAATGTTGCCAAAGAGTTTCAGCATATTTTTACGTAATTTATGTGATACATAAAACTTTTTGTTTAATTTCAAATCTAGTAGTAGTTACCAATTTAATAATATATTGGTTAGAGTAGAGCGGAGGTATTTTATAATAAAACACAAAAAAAATTATTTTAGCTGTTATTTCTTTTTTGTGGTGTATGGGTGTATGGACGTGTAGTTTCTATGGGCATGTTACTTTTTTGAGAGCCTAATGTCTGAACATATTTAGACAATAGATAGCCTTTATTTTTCATAATTTATAAAGCTTTTAAATTGACAAATAACTGCGACTTTTTAACTGTCCCGTTTTGCCCCACCCACTTGCAAAATGTAAAAAGTTTGTTAGTCTAGAATTTCGTTACTTTGGTTGTCGTAAATTATTTTTAGAAATTTTTGTTTTGTTTTTTGATTTTCTTGTATCAATGAGTTTTAGGAAATTTATAAAAGACAGTGTTAACTATGATTAGTTTATTCGCAACTAGCATTTGTTTCTTAAGTGTCCCTATATGCCCCGCTCTACTTTAATCAAATCATTTGTTTAAAGCGATTATAATAAAATCTATTCTAATATAAAACATGCCTTAAAAAACTTGCGAGCAAAAAAATTCCGAAGACCAAGCAAGCGCTACTTGCAGTGGCAAACTTTCACTCAACAAATTGCTTAACCATTCAGTAACACGACATGTTACCTCTCGGGTTGTACTTATCTATATCGAAAATAATAACTTGTTAATTTTCTTACTAACTTATTTGCCAAAAATTTTGCATCCACTAGAGGTCAGTATTTATTGCCAAAAGACTAGACGCAAATTACTTCAAGAGTTTTATGCTGAGACAAAGTTCATAATACTGTTTTGTTTCCGCTCAACAAAAATCAAGAAAACTGATCTAAATTACAAATTGCTAATGCGTTTGAAAACTTTCATATCAATCACCAGAATCTGACAGTGCCACCATTAACATTAGCAACACCACCTCATTACCTTCTGAATCTACACCAACAATGTCTAGCATAAGCAAACATTATATAGCACCAACTCAAAATTCAACTCGTCTGCAACCAATCTTCAATATAACTCCGGCTATTCAAAAGAAAATTCAAAAAGCAAGTTATGAAACAACGTAGGTTTGACTTTGATGATTAGCATCAGGTGAATCGATCAACAACGGCAATTCCTACAACAGCAGCAAACCAAATTGAATGTAAAAACTGCCGTAATGTTTTGAGCAAAGCTTTTGCAAGTCAATATAGCGAATGGTGTAAACGCAAAAATTCAAAAATGCAAAGTTTGGTTTTGACAAACATGTATTTTAAAGTGATGTATAAGAGACACCGAGTTTTATTGCACCAAAAAGTTCAGCACTCAAAAAAGTCACAACTCAACTCAACCTCCAGAACTTATTAAAGGATCAACATCATCACATAAATAATTTTTTTTATTAAAATTGGTTGTTTCTTTAATTGTTATCATCAGTTGCACTTTTATTTAAGTATTTTTTTAATTACCCATCGATTTGCATATTTTATTCTCCCCAAATACGAGGGTAGAACGAAATAGTTAAAATTTTTTTTTTTGATTTTTATATTTTTAAATACACTTCAAAATTATATTTGACAGAATAATTCCCGATTTAAACGATGTTTCAAAATAACAATATTATACAATTTTTGCAAACAGAACTTAAATGAAAATTTATTAAAAACTTAATAAAAAATATTGGATTAAATTAAAATAAAAAATAATTTTATAAAATGTATAAGTTTAAATCAAAATAGATAAAAAATTTATTTTTTTGTTATAAAAAAAATTAGAATAAAAAACTTAAAAAAATCTCGTATACAAACAAAAAGTTTAAAGCTTGGATTCAAAACCGAAAGTTGAAAAAATGCAGTATTCAAAATCAAAAGTTCAAAAATATAAACGTCATAACTATAAAGTAAAAAAATTTTTATTTGTCAATTTTTTTTTTTAAAGTATAGAAAATTTTAATTTATTTTAAAATATTATTTGTTAAAAAAATTTATAAAATACTTTTATTGTTGAAAAATATTAAGCACAGATTTCAATATAAAGCAATATCTTCTAACAATCATAATTTTTTTGTATTCCATGTTAACACTGTCATTTCTTTACTCGAAGTATAATTGATGCAATCCACCTTACGCGACCATTGATCTAAACAGTTTTGTCCACAAGTTAATATAAGTTTTTCTTCATTCTCTTCATTAGCACCAGTTTTCATACGAAAAGGCGTTATAAAGCTTATTAACTCTTTGTAACATTTTAACCAAGTATGTGGAATCATCGTTTGTGCGTCACATATGAAAAATGATCCGGAGGAGGTTCCAACGTACATTTTGTTTTCGGCAACAACAAGAGACTGAATTTGAGCATCGCAGGCTGCATAAAAAAGATTTTTTATATTGCAAAAAATTAAATTTATTTTTTTATTTATAAAAATTAAATTAAAAACGAGGGGTATTTAAACTTTGTAAGGTCATTTTTTGAACATTGAATGATTATTTTATGAAACTTAAAATTATATCGATGAATATAAAATATATGAATATATAAGTCTAGTTAAGAACAGTAAAAAATATTTTATTAACTTGTTGCTCTCCCGTTTGAAGCGGAAGTTATAAAGCTTTTTTGTTCCCAGGCTCAAATCATCGCAATTTTTTGCAAAGCATTTTTATCTGACATAAGTATATAAATAATATAAACATATAAATGTTTGGAGTTTGCTCCATGTCTGAAAGTTACCTATTTTAAACACCAAAAATCCTTCCTACGCCACTGAGTTATTGACAATAATTTGGCATCATGATTACATATAAGCGCCATTTTTAGTCACGTAGAGGAAATCTAAACGGGATTTAGTCTGACACGTCAGAACAAACATTGAGATTTTGAACTTAGTTTGGTTAAAACCAAAACTTTTCTCAACAAATAGAACATTTTTAGTAATCTTGTACGTAAGCCTTAATGTTAATCAAAATTTTAAAACTTTTTTAATGTAAAAAGTATATGCACCTTAAGTTCTTCAAAAGTGCACCTTAAGTTCTTCAAAAGTGCACCTTAAGTTATTCAAAAGTGCACCTTAAGTTCTTCAAAAGATTAATAATTTTCATTAACTATTAAAAAATTCTTTACAACAAATCGTGTTATAGAGGATGGGCGATTGTTGTTACTTCATAATATAAAAGGTTAAAGATACGAATGTTTGATTGCAAGACTTTACAATCAAACATTTATATATTTAAGAAAACACCATAAAATTAAAAAGCATTGAGATTTTGAACTTAGTTTGGTTAAAATACAGACAATACAGTGGGATTATATAAAAATGACCATAGTCAATATTTTCCTGCAAAAGGTCATAGATAAAGTCATGTTCATTGATTGCTGCACTCAAAGGGTTAATGGAAAGTAGTTATCTTGGTTCACAATCAAGATTGTTTATGTATTTATGTTTACAAGAAAACTGCAGCAACAGATAAATGTCTGCTATCACAATGAGTAACAAAGCTGTATCACACACTGAAATTGTGCTCAAGTATGTTTGTTGTGCTGGCATCATATCTGAAAGGATTCAGATATGATTCCAGCTAGAAGAGACTCAATGCTTGCAAGAATTCATAAATGCTATATTGAAAACTATAATCCTAGTTAAAAAAAAACAACTTATTTTCTGCAATTTGTGTTTTTAAAATTTAAAAAGGGGATTTAGATTGTTTTTAAAATTTAAAAAAGGGATAAAAAAAATAATGGTCTACATGGCACTTGATTTTTTTTTAAACCTATTCTTACAATTTCAAAAAGATCAAATCCTTTGTGCTATTTTGTGGGCTTATTTGAATAGTTGCTTAAATTTAATTGCAATAAAATCGAAAACAAGGATCTCCTACGACAAAGACCTAGATCTCCTAAGACTAAGACCTAAACCTCCTAAGACCCACATTAGATAGATCTTTAGTTGCAAATATTTTTTACTGTTTTGTGACTCAGTTATGCAGTCGTAATTGATTCTTAGAATTACCAAGAAGTTATTTGTTCAATTTAAAACCATCCTTAGGCAAAATAACTCTTTTTCATTGAAAAAAAGTTCTTGAACAAATCTTTTTAGATAAATTGTTTAAATTTAATTCGTTTTAAAATACCAAAATTTAATTTGAATGTGGAAAGCTTATTGCTGTATTTAAAAACATTCAATGGAGTCAAACAGACATGATTGGCAATGTTCTTAACTCTTCCTATCAAAATTATATATATATATATATATATATATATATATATATATATATATATATATATATATATATATATATATACATATACATATACATATATATATATATATATATATATATATATATATATATATATATATATATATATATATATATATATATATATATATATATATATATATATATATATATATATATATATATATATATATATATATATATGTATATAAGAGAGCATGAACTTATATATATATATATAAGTTCATGCTCTCTTTAAGTAGGTAAGTTTATTAGCTCAAAAGTTTATTAAGCTCAAAAGTATGATATGAAAAAAAACTTATTCCAACTTTACAAAAAACTTCACAAAAGGTGTTTAGTTTTGGAGTGAGCAAGCATGAGAAGTTCTTACAGATTATTTCATTAAGTTATGTGGAACAGGAAGATGAAAGAGTATTGCAAGAAATTGAAGAATAGTACAGTTGTATAAATGCTCAAAATATTTCTAAAAGTTAAGAGTAATATAACCAAGTCAATATTTGCAACTTTATTTAAAAATAAAAATGCTTGTCTATGTAATCTATTATAAATATAATTCTTTTTAAAAATTTGTTTTAAGTTAGTAGTTCTATATTATAGATTTTAAATAATACATCTTAATGAATGATTTAGATTCTAGTGTTACCCAGAAATTATCATTCTGTTCCAGCCAGTAGCATAGTAGACTTGTATATACAAATAGACTATACATATTATACATAGAAGACTTGCATAATAGTGTAACTTGAACAAAAATTATTCTCTTAATAAATTTAAAAAACCAAACCAAGCCAGTAAAGTTTGATGTATTTGTAAATTAGATATAATGATATCATAAAAAAGTCGATCTGGACAATTTGATATTTTTGTTTATTTACAAAGTAAAAAGTTAGAGCAAAATAATCATCATATATATATTTTTTAATATTTATGATCATAGAAGATGTAAACTGATGGAAACTTCTTGTCCCAGTAACAGTGGTTGTTGCAGACATTTTATCAGCAAGTTCGTTTTGTACTAGCTCCATATCTGCAGCACATTTGTTTTGTACTACCTCTATTTCTGCAGCAATGATGCTCACAAACATGATCCCACTGATTGATTTAAGACAGTATTTAGGCATTTCTTTAGCAGACATTACTTGACCTCTAATTGGAATTGGCAAGCTACCAATACCAACAAGCCTTTTATTGTGCCACATATTCCATCATATAGAAATTTGCAATGGCTTTTTGAAAAGAAATTTCAGATGCAATTAACAGGAAAAGCTTGAGCATGGTGACAAAAATTGTAAAAACACATGCAGCTTTTAGTCTCACTCACTCATTAAAAAAATGATTTTATAATTATTAGATAAAAATTAGTTTTTATTTGATTAATGGTTTTATGCATAGTATGAAATGCGTTTGAAATCTGATGACTATTTATAACTCACCACTTTTATTCTTTATTTTGGATCATCAACTTAATGTTGCATCAGTGAATCATGCAAACTTTTAATTCTATACTGCAGACAATCATTTCAATAATTTCATGGTATGACAATTCAAGGTCTTCAACACTCAACATCAATATTACTTTATCTTATGTATTAAGCTCATTAAAATTACCTTTCTTGACACAAGACAAAATTTTTTTCTTCTCAATACTAAAATGATTTACCAGGCATTTGCTTTGAACGCAATAATAATATATTTATTATTGTGTTAAACTTACCCTAATGCTCAAACACATTAAAGTAAACTATGATGCCTTTTTGGTTAGCATAATAACTTTGCCTTTTTAAATTTTGGTTTTGGAATAAACAAACTCAGCACTTTTGGTAGACCAGAATTTCTTACTTTATATCATCTTCAATAAATTTTACATTGATGCTAAGTTCACATTATGGACATAGCTTTTTACCTAGTAATTCAAATTTGGCTTAACTAGAACTTTCCTATATCAAAATTGATTTCATGAAGAATGCCTGTAAAATAAAACCAGCTCTTATAAAAAAAAAAAATATAAAAATGTTAATAAAACAAAGCTTATAGTTGTCTATTTTTTAATTTTTCACTTTTAGTTGACTAGAAAACTAAATAAAATAAGAATCATCTTTTATTTAATCTAAAACTGAAACAATTATTTTATCACAACTGGCAAAAGCAAAACTATATTCAGACTTTTAAAATCTAACAAAAATTTTTTTGACTTTTTTGAAAATCAATAATCATCAAAAAATTTAAATTTTAAGTTCTTTGTGTTTCTGGATTCAGCACTTTCAAAAAATGCCAAACACCAATTTTCAACCAGTTTCCTCCACTAGAACCTAAATTGTTAATACAAAGATACTTTTAAATCCACTCCAAATCAGATGTACACAAAAATAGGGTATTTTAAAATGAATTTCAAAGTGTCAAAACTAATAAATTCTTTGAAATTTTACAGCTTTTTCATATCTCATTGATTTTGCAGCATTTTCACATTTTATTGAAAAAAAATTCTAACCAGTGAAAAATTATTTAAACCTTTATAATTATTTAACTATATTATTATAAATAGACTAGTCAAGTAATTTTGTAGTCTATATAAAAACAATTTTTAAAAGTTTTGTTTATTTTGATAATAATGAACTTTGTAACCTGAAACATGAAGAAAAATTTCAAGTAGGGTAGAGCAGGAAATATTGGGACAGCAGGGCATAATGGGAGAGTTATGCCTAAAACCTTATATCTCAACTAAAAATTACTTTTTTTCCATTTTTTTTTTTTTGATAAAACATTTTAAACTAATGTGCTTCATTATTGTGAAAAAAAATTTAATTTTTGTAAATGCTTTTCAAGTACCAAAATGCATTAATTAAGTTTGTGAAAAACAAAATTTGCATATTTTCATAAGAGATACAACAACAAAAGATTTATCTTGAACTATTGCTAATTTGCTTTATTTATAAAAAGTTTTAATTTTTCAGACAGTTTTATCCTCTTTTAGAATCTGGTTTTAAAAAAAATACCTGAAATTGAAATTTTTGAATAGTATTAATTTCAGTAATATGACTTACGAAAATAGGCATATCGGGACAACAAGCTTTTTATATAATTGACAATATTACTATCATTTCATATTGTTGTTTACAGTTTCATAATTTTACTATTAGTGTAAAATATTATTTTCCTTATTTAGAAAAGCAATATTGGTCATAAATTCAAAGAAATTTTCATTTTTGTAACTTAACTTTGATTATTATTAGTGTTTAATGTAAACAACAATGTTAAGAAATCATATAAGACCGATCATCATCAAATAGAATGAAAGGTTTTAACTGTGCATAAACAGAAACTTAGAATTGGAAAAGCATATGGAGACATATGGATTATTTAAATTTGATCTACATTGGCATATTGCTATAAGCCAGCTCATCAAAATGTTGCCAAATAGTTTCAGGATATTTTTTGTGTGAATTATGAGATCCATAATATTTTTGTTTGACTTTAAATTTAGTAGTTACTAATTTAAAAAAATATACTAGTTTTGCTCTACCTAAAATTTAGAACAATTTCTTAAGTTTGTTTGTTTAAGAGTATTTTATAAAACAGAAAAAGTTTTTTTTATTTTAGTTTTTATTTCCTTTTTGTGGTCTATGGGTATATGGGTGTGTAGTTTATATGGGTATGTTATTGTTTTATGTCTGGACATGTTTAAATGATAGAAAGTTTTCATTTTTTATCATTTTTAAAGATTTACAATTAACAAATAACTTCTGCTCATTAACTGTCCTGTTTTGTCCAATCCCCTTGCAAAATGTAAAAAATTTTGCTGGTCTAGAGTTTCGTTACTTTTGTTGTCATAGCTTATTTTTAGACCTTTTTTTTTGTTATTTTATTTTTTTATATCAATGAATTTTAGGAAATTCATAAAAAACAGTGTTAACTATGATTAGTTTATCTGCAACTAGCATTTGTTTCTTAAGTGTCCCTATATACCCCGATATGCCCTGCAACTAGTATTTTGTTTTTTAAGTGTCCCTATATGCCCTGCTCTAGCCACATATTATTAAAAAATGTTGAATCAATTTTTTATAACCGAATGCCTAGCATTAACAAGTTTTGCACATGAAAATTGATCTCACCGAATACTTTATTATAATCCTACTCTGAAGGTTTAAAAGTTCCTGAAAGTTGTTTATATAAAAAATTTTTATAGGAAAGTTACTATGGCTAAAGAGCTTTCATATACATGAATACATATATTTGAATATGTATTTATTTATATAAAGATGTATTTATTGAATTTTACACCCATTTTATAGTATAACAAGAAAATGACTTTCAAAGATTATTTATATATATTTATATAGTTTGACAACTAAACTTACCATTTGTGGTAAAAAACAACTATTAACTACTCTTTGACATATAGCAAAACAAAATTAAGAGATTATTTCAAAACTATTAAATTTAATTGAAAAAAATAATTAAATTTGATAGCTTTTTAAAAAAACTGCAATAGCGCAAATAAAAGACTAGAATGCTTTTATTTTTATTTTTTACTGTTTATATACATCGCCTGACAAATAGGTAGAACATGCAAGGAGTGCTGCTACATTGACCGACAACTAGTTAGAAAATAGGTGCAGTGTTGCTTTTTATGACTCTATGTTTTTAATAACAATATATTTCAATTCATTTTCATATGTTTCAAATATTTGTGATAAATTATTTTAAAAATATGTTAAATCAAATTTTAAATTATAAAAAAAATACCTTTTGTTATTTTTGCTTTCTTTGAAGTCTTGGAACAATTTACTGAAAGTGTGAAAATAGAAAAAAATAAAATCTCTTACTAAATAAATCTTAGAACTTTAAAATAAATTCTCACTGAAAAAAAAAAAAATTGAAGCATCTTATAATAGTTATATACAATTTTAAAACATACATTATAATTATGATTATGAAAAATATATCACTAAAAATTGAATAAATTGCTAAAGCTAATACTAATTTTTTTTATTGATAAGCAAACTTTATTACAAGAAAAGTCAAACTATACAAAAAAATTTTTTCTTTAAATTTATTTAGAATAATATTTCTAGTATTTTAATTTTAACAAACTTTTTAATGCGGTAGTGGTGTAGTGGTAGAGCTCTTGCTTCATAAGTAATAAGGTTCCAAAGGTTATAAATTCAATCCCACCACATCCCTAGTAGTACAGCACTCAACTTGTTTCTATGTGCAATGGCCTTGTTTGACAAGGTTTGTGTTTCAGAGTTATAGAGTTAAGAGAGGGTTATAACTTTAACCTGCATGTGGTAACCATGGTAACCATAAATCTAAAACAACTTAATAGATAAATTCTATCACATTCAACTCTGTATAGAGTTCTAGATAAATATGAAATTTCAAAATGATTGTTTCTTATTTCCTAATAGAAATAATTAAAATTTTAATCTACTTACAAATTTTAAAAGTTATCCAATATTTACATTTCATTGAAATAGATCATAAAAAATTATCGTTGAACAAGTTAATGGGATGCATGCATTAACATATATATATAAAAAATATTTACCAAAAAATTTTAGGACTTGTGAGTGTTTTGTAATTTTAAGATATACAGTCATGTTAGAAATGAGTTTGAAGTTTTTCAATAAATATTTTAATCTAAGATGAGTAATTTATTGAATATTACTTGAAGCATGATTGTTAATGCTAGATGTTCCATGATGTTAACAATCCAAAAAAATTCATTATTATAATCAATAAAGTTTATACAAAACCACAACTAACGTATCAAGGCGATAACTTATCCAGAGAAGAAATACCTGGAGTATTTATGATTTTCTTATTAGTTGTGTATCATTTAATTGCTGATTTTTAATTTGAGCAAGTTGTCTATACGTTGCATTTGGTTCATTCATGTAATAGCATTTGGTTAAACATGCAAAAGTTAGAATATTTTGACTGTGACCTTAATAAAAAACTTCTGATCACACATTAGTGAAATAAGTAATTTTTTCTTTAAATAACAAACATTTGTTTTGTTTTTACAATGTAGGAATGATTACTCAATTTTTCTTGTTGGGGTTCTAGATTGTTCAAGACACTTTTTAGACAATTGATGTTCTTAGCAATCATAATTTTTGTGGTCAATGTCTCATAAGCCTGGCTAGATCCAGTCTAATGAGATATTGATTAATTGTTCTTTCATTTTGCCACAAAATGTTTGATGGGCGATTAGAGGCAATAAAATGCTTTTAGTTTTAGCATTAGAATGCAATTTATAATAATTGTAATAATTATAATAATTAAATTATAATAATTATAATAATTAAATTATAATAATTAAATTGTAATAATTTAAATACACTTATTTAGTTAAAGTAATAGTTTACATTTTGTAATTTTTATAAATTGAAAATCTTAATAATCAAAACTTTTTGTAAAACATTATTAACAATTATAAACAAACCAACAAAGAAAGTGAGGCATATTGAAAGTGAGGCTAAATATAAATTAATTTAAATAAGTTTTACTCATTAATTGGGCAAAATTTTTGCCACCAAAAAAGTTAAAAATGGGTCATTCCAGCTCAATTCAATTTATGCTCGGTACCATGCCATCTCAATTTTGCTGATTTTTGGAATACAAGCTTGATTTAATAAAAGAAAACTTCACTCCAAATTTTAGTGCCTGACTCCTTACGGTTTCAGAGATATTGATACTTGGTCCCAACCTCTTTTTTGACTTTTTTTTCCAGCGCCATTTATTTTTAAGGCTCATTGCACGACACAATTAGCTTTAACTTATGAAATACTTGTTTAATAGTGGTCAAAATTTCTACCTAACTATTTTTTAGGGTGAGGAACTTAAAAATGATGGCTTAAAACACACAAAAACTCAAGCTTTTATATAGAAATTTAATTTCAAAATGGTGTAACACTTTTTGTAAGTTTTTTGATGCCCTGTACAAAAAAATGTTTATCTCAAGATGCCTAAAAGATAAAATTCTGAAATTTTTTTCTAATGTTCTATATGTAACAAACTCCATAATACAAAAAATCTGGAAGGGTTTTCTTTTTTAAATTAGATTTATTTGCATTTAAAGTTTTATTTAAAAAATTAAGAAAAACTGTTATTTAATAATGAAAAAAACAATTTGCATAAATTTTTTGCATTTTTTAAAAAGATTTTTAGAATCTTGCTGCGTAAGGTACAGTTCTAATATATAAACTTGTTTGCATTTCACATAAAAGATCTTTCTTTTATGCAATCATTATGTTTAATAGCTAATAGAATTTCTATTTTCAAATCTTTAAACAATAATTATTTTAAAATTGTTTTTTACAGATCTAAAAAATAATATAACAATATGAATGATAAAGAAAGATGTTCGATTGGAATAATAAATAAATAAATTTGTAACAAACAAACATATGTAAAATCTCATGATATCAAGAAAGTTTCAAGTCTTAATGATGTGGAAAAAGACTTGATAATTAGTCGTTCTGGCATTTAATTTGATGAAAATGCAACGGTTTGCCTACACTATGAATATGTTTATTTAAAACGTTACTCTACGATCCACATAACTTGCTGTGATCCATTTAATTCACACAATGGAAAAAGAAGGAAAGGTATTATTACTTAACCATGAAACTTTTTTAAAACTTTATTGTAATTATTTATAAATTATATATATTTTTGCAAAATACTCACTGAAGCAGTAATTATCACTCATGTTTTTAGGAGGATGTAAAGAAATTTAATATGCAACTTGCTGAGAAATTAAAAAATATTGGCATTAATGCTATTCCTGGAGAAAAGATATGTCCCTAGTGTATGATTAAATTGATATCATTTGAGGATGATGAGCAAAGAGAACCAACTTGTAGCCAGATTTATGAAGATGAAGATAATGAACTTAATATAAATGAATTGTTAAAAAAAAATCTTAATTCTTCTTTGACGACTATGAACATAAGTCCTCTCAAAATGCATGCTGTAAATAATCACTCAAGAGTTGCTCTTGGCAAAAAAAAATTGTTACATATTCAAAAAACAGTAAAGTTAGGTATTGCAAGGACTTTAAATATAGATCCTGAACAGTTAAGTAAAGAAGATTCCTTCAATAAATTATCTAAGGAAGTTAAAGGTAAAGCAAATGACATGGATATACTTATTAGAAAAATCAAAGAAAAAATGTTAATTTCCAATCATAATCAGAAAATTCAACTACTAACACTGGTTCCAATTTCTTGGTCTCACAAAGATATAGAAAAAGAATTTAATGTTACTAATTATATGATGCAGAAATCACCCAAATTGCTGCAGAAAAATGGTATTTTATCTTTTCCTGAAAAAAAAAGGAAAGGAAATACCTCAAGAAACAGTAGATAAAATTATTGAATTTTATTGTAATGATGAAAATAGCAGGGTAATGTCTGGTGAAAAAGATTTTGTCAATATAGCTCAAAGATCTCATATGCAAAAGCGTTTGATTCTTTTAAATCTAAAAGAGCTATATGCAAAGTTTAAAACCTGTTATCCAGATATAAAGAGCTGTTTTTCTAACTTTTGCTCACATCATCCAAAATGGTGCATTACAGTTGGAGCATCTGATACGCATACAGTATGTGTGTGCACTTACCATCAAAATGTTAAGTTAATGATTAGTGCAGTTAAATTATCAAAGGATTATCACGAGCTTATTGATATGCTTGTTTGTAGTAGGGCAAACAAGACTTGCATGATACATCGTTGCCCTTTGTGCCCAGAAGATTCTACATTGGTACATTATCTTAGAGTTGTACTCTCAAGACAATATTGATGAAGATGATGATTGTATAGATTACAAACAATGGAAAACAACAGACTGATCTGAACTATTAAGTCTAACAGAAACGACAAGTAGCTTTATTAATATTTTAAAAAATAAGTTACAAAAACTTACTGTTCATTCTTATATTGCAAAAAGTCAAGCTGCTTAAAGTTAAAAAATGAGTTAAGTAGTACTGAGGTCATTGTCCTTTATGATTTCTCAGAAAATTACGAGTTTGTTGTACAAGACGAAATACAAAGCTTTCATTGGAACAAAATTCAAGCCACATTGCATCCAACAGTAATTTATTATAAAGAAAATAATATCCTCAAATGTGATTCAATATGTTTCATCTCAGATGATTTACTGCATGATGTTGATATGGTTTATCATGTGATGAAGCTAACAATTGAACATATTAAAAGCAATATTTCTCATCAAATAGAAAGTGTCCATTACTTTTCAGATGGGTGTGCTGGCCAGTACAAGAACTGCAAACACTTCGTAAATATATGCCACCATGAACAAGATTTTGCTATGAAATGTACCTGGTCTTTCTTTGCAACAAGTCACGGTAAATCACCCTGTGATAGTATTGTTGGGACTGTAAAAAGACTGACTTCAATTGCTAGCCTTCATCGAACAACAACAAATCATATTCTTACAGCGTCTGCAATGTTTAATTTTTGCCAAAATAAAATCATAGGAATTAATTTTTATTACATATCCAAGGAGTCAAACACGATAATATGAAGTGAAATGGAGAAAAATATACAACTGCAAAAACGTTACCAGGCTCTCATAGCTATCACAATTTTGTTCCAATAAGTAACACAAAAATTGGAACTAAAATTGTTTCTGAACAATTGGAGTATTCATTTGTTTTTAATTTTCAAACTGATGAGATTATTAAAGAATTCTTGTCTAATATAAGCATTGGTGTGTTTGTATGTTTGATATATGATAACAATCCATGGATCGGACTAGTTGAGGAAATTGATGTTGAAAATAAAGACTTTCAAGTTAGTTTCATGCATCCATGTTACCCTTCAAGGTCATATTGTTGGCCTTCTAGAGATGATGTTTGCTGGGTTCCATCAACAAACTTATAGCTAATGATTAATATTCCAACAACTGTTACAGGAAGACAATACAAAATCAGTGAAATTGACCACCAGAGCATTGAAGATAGCTGGGCAAACTTTAAACCAGAGAACTAATTTGTTATCTGTTAAAGATTTTTAATTCTTATTTTTTAAATGTCAAAGATTGTTAATTCTTATTACCTTTTATTTTTTCTTATTGTAATTTAATTATTTCTATGGTTTTAGTGTGATTTTAATATTTTTTTGATTTATTATTGTAAGACTTTAAATGCAAATAAATTTGATTTAAAAAAGAAAACCCTTCCAGATTTTTTGTATTACGGAGTTTGTTACATATAGAACATTAAGAAAAAATTTCAGAATCATATCATTTAGGCATCTTAAGATAAACTTTTTTTTGTACGGGGCATCAAAAATCTTACAAAAAGTGTTACACCATTTTGAAATTGAATATTTATATAGAAGCTTAAATTTTTAAACGTTTTAGTCATAATTTTTGAGTTCCTGACCCTTAAAAGTAGTTAGGTAGAAATTTTCTATTGAACAAGTATTTCATAAGTTAAAGCTAATTGTGTGGTGCAATAAGCTTAAAAAATAAATAGCGCTGAAAAAAAAAGTCAAAAAAGAGATTGGAATTGAGTATCAATATCTCTGAAACCGTAAGAAGTCTGATACTATAATTTGGAGTGAAGTTTTATTTCATTAATTTAAGCTTTTACTCCAAAAATCAGCAAAATCCAAGATGATATGGTGCTAAAAATTATTTTTTTTAGTTGATTAAGTCAGTATATTCATGTTTTGTTTTGGTGCATTTGCTGCTAAAATAATATTCCACTTCAAGCTAATACATTTTTAAAATGAAATAATCTGAAGACAAAGATGTTTCTTGAATCTGTTTGTTTACAATATAAACTAAACTATTATTTTATACATATTTAATATGATGGTGATGCATTGGTAAAGCCTTCTGATAATAAACTTTTATATTCCACTTTACCAAAATTATACTTTACACAAAGTATAATAAACATTTTTTAGCTAACGACTAACACATTTTATTGTAATTAACAGTAGTTCATTAACTTGTATTCATATAAAAGATAACCCAATGCAACTTAAAAATTAAAACACATGAATTTAACATAGTATGAAGCAACAAATTTTGCAGAAGATCTTATTTAGATAAATTTAGTTCACCCTTGCCACATTTTTCATAATAATTAGGAAAAATTGAACAGATATTTCTTTATAACATTAACTTTTTTAATGTTAAAACCTGGTACTCAAATAAAGTATAAATTTTACAAAAACTAATAAAAAAAAAAATAATAATTATAATTTAGAAAAAAATTATTATTCAATATTTTATTGCATAAAAAAACTAGTTTTCAACTAAAAATAAAAAAGTGCATTTTTTTAAAAAGTTTTTTTTCATTTTTTTTTTTTTTGTGAGATGTTTTTATAAATACTATTATTTTTAGAATAAAAAATACTATTATTTTTAATTTCACTGCTTTTGAGTACACGGTTGACATACTTTTAAAGAACTTTTTTAATATGACCCTGTAAATGTTCATAATTAAAATCAGCTCTAGGAAAATTTTTTTACACATTTATTTTATGTGCGAATATGACAAGTGGTCCTAAGGATAAACACTGTGTGGTGTGATGAAAAATTGATGAAAAATTAAAACATTCTAAACAGAATACTTTGATCATTTCAGTTTACATTTAAAAGACCTGAAACCAACTTTGCTAATGTTATATTTAAAAGACCTAAAACTAGCTTGGCTAATGTTATATTTAAAATACTTGAAACCAGCCTTGCTTATGTTATATTAAAAAAACTTTTTTAAGGTTTTTATAAACTAATTTCATTTTTTTCAAAAATACTTTTGCCCAAACTACAACAATTTATGAAGAATATTTTCTGAAATAAGCAAACAACTTTTTTTCTTAAAAAACAAATAACTTTGTGCACTAAAAACTCCACTAATAACTGTATATGTTTTATTTGTTTTTATCATTGAAATATTGTTTTCAAAATATTGTAGCACTTTTAAACAATGACTTTAATTATAACAAAACTCAATCAACAAAATCAGGTTGATTTTTAGTGGAAATAAGTTTGTTAAGTTCGTGGAAATAAGTTCGTGGAAATAAGTTTGTATTGGAAATAGTAAAAGAACAGTTAGCTGCTGTTAAAAAGCCGATGTTAATACATACAAATAAAAATAGACAAAAAATAAAAACAATGTTGAAGTAAGAGCCTAATATCAGAAGAAATATAAAAAAGATTAGGTAATGAATAAAATGAAGAATGCATACAGAACAAAATAGCAAAAAAGTGACAAGATAGTTCACAAATAAAAACATACACAATTAATTTAAAGACATTCCACATCACTTTAACTCAAGCAAACAAAATAGTTACCACTTTTGAACTTATATTCTATCATTTCCTTGATTTTTACTCTTGATAGTTTTTAAATGTGACAAATTACAATGTCATAAGACACACACATGTATATTAGACATATGTATATTTTTCAAATATTTAAACAATCTTTTTAAAACAATTAAACAACATGTTTCGTCAATAACAATTCATCAGGTATGATTGTTTAATGTTATTGATGAAACATGTTGTTTTAAAAAGATATATGTTAGTGTATTCTACAAATAGAGTGCTTAATGTACTTAAAAAATAGGGCAATAACTTATTTGCATTATGTTTCAACATCACATAACAGCACTAAGTGTGAAATGAAAGAAAATATATAGTATTGGTTGAAAGTGTTTATGCTTTTATGAATCTTTTATGCCTGGTTAACTTGCAATTACATTTTAAAATTTGTCATGTCTGGTAATTGTTAGTAAAATTTAAAAAGTTATTTTAACTGCAAAGTAATTTAATCAATAATCTGAATTAAAAGAAAAAAAAAAATCACTAAAAAAATCAAGAATTTAAGTAAACTGTTTATACACAATAACAGGTTTTACTTCCTAAAACATTGAATTTTTATTCAGAGATTTTGAGCTTTTATGCAAATTTACTTTAATTTTAAAAATTTACAATTGTGTCACAAAATTGCTGACCTTCAAGTTAATTTGACAAAATCTGGAACCTGAAAGTTTTTTACATGCTGTAAAGATTTTAAATAAAACTTAATAAATTAAAAAAACTTACGAGTTAGTGAAACAACATGCTGACTAGCATCAAATATTTCTTCAACTTGTCGAGTATCAACATTCCACTTTTCAACTTGAGTTCCTGGATAAGTAACTATCCAAATATGACAACTATCCTTTTTAGTTTCAGTAAATGATTCATAAGACCGAGAGGTTTCCAAAAAAGTGACAGTCAAATCTTGTTGTACTGTGCGTTCCAACTCATTTCTTTTCACAGGAATAATCTGGATTGGAGCCATTGTTTTTGCATTCAAAATTGTAATTTGTCCTTTTTCTTGCCCACACCATAACTCATATACTTCAGTTGAACAGCTGCTAGTTGGTCGTGTCACACCTTCACTAGCATAACTTTGATTCAAAGAATAGTTTGAGTGCACAATAGCTATAGAATAGATTGGATAATCAAAAGAAAACTGCTTTAAAGGTATTAGCTCACGAAGTTTAGTATTAGGGTGAGAAGAGAAGGTATCATCTCCAGGAGTTTTGATATATTGATATGAATCAAGAGTATCCGAAAAATAGAAAACAGTATTATTAGAAAATGATACAATAACACAATTAAAAATAGGATAATGTTCAATAGCGTGTATATATCCATTGTGTGAGCAACTTCCTAATGCAATTAACTTTAAAGATGTTGCACCGTAAACCTTAATTGATCCTATTTCAGTTCCAAACCACATGGAACTACCTACGGAACAAGCAACTAAAACCTTTTCTTTTAATTGAAGATTCTAAACACAAAATAATAATATTAAAGTAGTTCTCAATGAAAAATATAAAAAATTTACTGGTAAATGGTTGTAGTTACTAAGACAAAACTTACTAGTATATGGTTGTATTTGTAATCATTGTAAGTAAAAACTGTGACAACACCTTCAGGACGATTATTTAAATTACCACAAAACCAAACATATGAACCAATCTGACTTCGACTGGAGATTACATTATGGTTACTAATATCTTCTGAACTAGTCACTATACATTGCAAATCAAAATGCTTGCCTAATCCTAAATAAATAATAATTTCATAAAATACATATGCATGCAAACCTGCATATATATTTTATGAAATTCATACCCATATATATATATATATATACATATATATATATATATATATATATATATATATATATATATATATATATATATATATATATATATATATATATATATATATTGTATATATACATATATATTATATATATATATATATATTATATATATATATATTTTAAATATATATATATATATATATATATATATATATATTTTAAATATATATATATATTTTAAATATATATATATATATACATATATATATATATATATATATATATATATATATATATATATATATATATATATATATATATATATATATATATATATATATATATATATATATATATATATCACAGACAGCAAGCTTACATTGGCCCAACGTAAGTTTTAACATTGGCAAGTTTATTTCGTTGGGCCAACATTTAGCCAATGTTTTTTTTCGGCGTATTATTTTCAATTCTGAAAATCAGTTTTTTGCAAATATCGTACTATATTGGGCCAACATTTAGCCAATGTTGTTTTTTTGATGTAATATTGCAATTCTACAAATCGGTTTTTTGCAATTATGGTACTACGTTGGGCCAACATTTGGCCAATGTAGTTTAGGCTTAATATTTTGCTATAAAAATCTGTTCTTACATTTATACCGTAGCCAATATTTGGCCAATGTAGTTGTGGATTAGTATATATTTTTTATTTGTTGCAAAACATTTTTAAAAATGGTATCGTTTGACAGAATAAAAAAAAGGTTTTGATATTATCTTTCCATTTTTTTAAATTATAAAAATAAAAAAAAGAAGCTATATTTATTGATCTTCTAAGAATCTTAAAAGGTTTCTTATAAAAAATAAACTTTAAGAGATTCTTGTGACTTAATGTTTTGTTTTTTTAAATAATGAAATATTTATTAACATTTAAATAATATGCTTAAAACATTTTTTACAACAATCTAAATTATTAATGTAATAATAAAGGCAATAATTAAATTATTTTTGTGTAAGATCTTAAAGTTATTTTTTTACTTTTATTGCTGTATGGGCATTTCAAATGTTTGATTTATTTAATAATCTTTATTAAATAAATGAAACATTTCAAATGTTCGATTTATTTAATAAAGAAGACATTTTAAATGTCTTCTTTATTAAATAAATCAAACATTTGATATGTCATACAGTATATATATTTTTTTCATTATTTATTTATAATAGTTTAGATTATATAGCTATTATAAGATATATTATTAAAGGTACCAATAATATATATGTGGCATTGATGTTGTTAGAAGCTGATATTTTACATTTTAAATATGTCTCTTTTGTTTGATTTTTTTCAAGTTTGATTGTGAAGCCCCATCTACTAACATATTAAAACAGTGTGCAAAAAGTGATGTTACTAGAACTTATATTCTACTTATGCAGAGCTTTCTAATATTTCATCTTTCTGAGGCAGAGGGACATTATTCTTGGTTTCATTATTTTTTAATTTAATATCTCTGGATATTTTTCATATTTAGTTTGTGTACAACAGTTAACAACTTTAAGCTTTAACAACATTAACTTTAGTTATAACTTAATTAATAATGATTTGATTTATAGATTTTTAAAGCAATACAAGATTGAATTTAGCAAAAGGCTAAACTTTTGCTCTGGAGACAAAAAAGGAAGACAGCGAAAATGACCAGCCAAAATAAAGAATAAAGAGACAAAAAACTGTATATCTTGGTGTAGATGATTTATCCTCAATTTCTTATAATAAAACAAAAAATGTAATCAAACTTTGGGATTTACCTGTGACTCCAAACTCTTTACAGAAGTTCAATGTTTGCTCTGAGAAGTTGAATGAACAAAATTTATTAAATGGTAAGTTTTTATATAAAAGTCTTTATGTTTGATGATTGAAAATCTTTTTTCATAGCTTTAACTTTTACAATTTAAAAGACTTTTTCATATATTATGGTCAAAAGGTCAGAGTTTTAATTAACATTTTATTGTATAATAATCAACATATCAAAGCTTATACCACAGGCTTGGTCTCGAATACTGACCACGGAAATTATATTTAGTTGCGAAAAACTGGCCAGGTTTTTTAGTCGTTTTGAGAACAATTATAAGTTTATGAACGTAACAAAAATTTTTTGTTGGATTTTTAAAGTTGGTGTCACCAACTTTAAAACCAACTGTTGAAAAAAAACAACAGAGTATTCATATCAGTTTAAAGTTTTATTAGTTGCTGGTAGTTCATTATTATTCATTATATAAATGTTTATTTAAATTTATCAAATAGACGATGGTAAAACAATATTTAAAAATTTTATTAATAAAATTCAGAACTAAAATATGTAAAAAAAAATATTTACAACATTGGACAAGGTCCGTACTGTACCTTGTCCAATGTTTGTAAATACATTGGACAAGGTACAGTACGGAAAACTTGGAAAAGTCAGGGAATGAATTCTTTAGATAGTCATGAAAAAATCAGTAATTTTAGTTAATAAGCTACTCATTTCACAATTGAATGCTGTATTTTGAAAGCGTGATAAGTCACACTTTTTTTAAAAGTGAGGTTATTTGAAAAAAATATTTTTTTTAGGAAAAGATAAAATTATAAGATAAAATAAAGATTTTTTTAGAAAAAATAAAGATTTTTTTTAGATGAAAGAAACAATTTTTAGATAAACTAAAAATAAAATTTTTTACAGGAGAAATGTTTTTCATTCTCTTGTAAAATTTTAATTTTGTGGCTTGTCACATTTTCAAAATACTCAATTAAGCTATGTTTTTTTTTTGGTGCAACCCATTTATATTCTCTGAAACCTATATTTTTTTTCTTAGTGTTCATTCGTAGTCATCGTTAATAATAAGATCCATACTAACATGTATAATAAGCTTTATACTATCCAACTTAACTAATAGCTAAGTTTTATAAGTTTTGTCATTCAAAGCATGTACAATCTTAACATTTCCATTACAGTAGATAGTAATTTTAAACATATTGTAAAAACCATAGTTAAAAATGGTCAGGGAAATTCATCTGATTTTTCAAAAAAGTCATTGAATTTTATATAAATAGTTGGCTACGAACCCTGTTGGAGAAACATTGTTTTAATATAAATTTTTTTGTTTTACAGTGCAATCTGTATTTTAAACATTAACGAGAATTATTTTCTCTCAGTGCCAGAAATTAAATACACACCTGCAAATTTTGTAATTCATAAAAATATTATGAATCCATTAGCAAGTATATATTTTTATCATTAAAAATTTGCTCCTATGCCTTTAATTTTATCTGTTTTATTAGTGATTGCTGTATTTACTTTCATAAATTCTAAATATAATATGTAATTAGTTGTATAGTTTCATAATAATATAATTAACTTTATTGTTTCAAGATAAAGTTAATTATATTATTATGAAACTATACAACTAATTACATATTATATTTAGAATTTATGAAAGTAAATACAACAATCACTATGGATCTTTCAAAATACAGCATTCAATTGTGAAACAAGTAGCTTCTTAACTAAAATTACTGATTTTTTCATGACTATCTAAAGAAATCATTCCCTGACTAAAGACGAAGGAGATTGTATATGTTATTTACTAAGAATAATTAAACTATGCCAGGAGAGGACAAAAAATTGGAATAGGAAAAATGTTGCTATTGGTAAGTAGTTTATAAAAGTTTATATTTTCAGTTCATTTTTGCATTACAGAATTACTATCAATTTGTTATGTTTCTTTGGTGCATAATTAAGCAAACAACAATTTTTTTTGCAGAAACTGTGAAGTCAAATAAGCATGGCTTATGCAGACATGTGATAGAGATAGCGGAAGAAAAAATAATAATCGTGGGCATCAAATATCATAAACTAAACACGATTCAATAACAAGTAGCTCAGCCAATATCGAAACTACTCTATAAATTTTATAGTGAATTTTTTTATTTAAAACTCAATGTTTTAAGTTTGGTGTTTGCAATATGTATATATAACTGAGAAATTATGTTAAATAAATAAATGTTTATACTTGTATCATACATTCTTTTTTTTTCTCTATAAATTTTCAATGTAGCGATGCAAATTATCTTATTTGTAACAACGATCTAATGTTGCATAAAACGTTAGGCCGATATCTTGTTGTATACAACATTGGCCCAATATAAACATTAGGCCAATATATTGTTGTATACAATATTGGTCCAATGTTGTATACAACATTGGCCTAATGTTACAAACAACGTTGGACCAATGTTGGATAAATGTTGTATACAACATTGGGCCAATGTTGTACACAACGTTGGGCCAATACCTAACCAATGATCAAACCTGCATTGGGCCAACATAAACTTTCAACGTTGGGCCAATGCATCATCATGCATTGGCCCAACGTTGGGCCAATGCATCATCATGCATTGGCCCAACGTTGGGCCAATGTAAGCTTGCTGTCTGGGATATATATATATATATATATATATATATATATATATATATATATATATATATATATATATATATAAATAAAAAGCAACGATCTTAGACAGAGATTGGAAATGATAAATGATCTGACAGCGTGTATAGAAGAACTAGGTAGTTCTTATATAATGCACGCTGTAAATATTAAAACTAAATCTTTTGTAAATTTAGAATTTGATATTATAAGTATGCTAAAGTTTTCTCTTTTTTCAAATTTTTCAAATTTTTTCATCACAAGAATTCTTTGAACATAAGTTGATCTTGAGATTATTAAAAAAAGTTAAAGATTTTCAGATTGCAATTATTTTTTTGCATATGCGACACAATGATCGCAAAAAGTGACCAACGGAGCCGTCCAGTTACGTAGAGCCCGGGACCTGCACTAACGCCACTCGTCAGGGGCGTGTCCTTGCAACAGATCTCACCGCCTGTTTAGAGAAGAGTTAAAGATTTCAGATTGCAATTATAA